ACGGCTTGCCTGAGCCCTCCCCCTTCCCTCCACCCCAGCCAATCGTTCGGAACCGGGAGCGCGACAAGCGCCTAGACCCGGGCTTTCTCTCGGCCGCGGGACCAGTTGCTTGTCGGTAACGCAGAAGAGGCAAAATGAAGAAAGCGAAGACGAAGAGCAGCTCAATGGGAACGATTCGGGGGGTCTTCCCGGCTCCCAGCACCCCCAAGAAAATGGCTGCCGGCAATTCTCGCGAGAATTAAGAAAGTCTCGCGATGTCCCGGAGCCTGCTGGGAAGACACGTAGGATTCGCGGAGAGCGAACGGTAGGGAGGGCCGTAGTTCGAGCTTTTGCGGCTTTTGTGCCTTTTTACACTTCGGCCCTCTTAAGGAATAAAGATTTTATTTTATTTTTTTAGTAGGAGGGAAAGATCGATGATTTCAGAAACAGCAGGAGCCCCAGCTCATCTTCTGAAACGGCTGTGGCGCGTCCGCTGGAACTAGCTCGGGGCCTGGAGCGCTCCGCGAGAGCCTCCCCGCCGGTGTGTGCGGGGGTTCCCCTGTGCTGCGCGGGTGTCTCCTCGGGGCACCTGTGCGGTGCACTACCGCATTCTCCGTGTGCTGTGCTGTGGTTTGGGAAGCACAGGCTGGTCTGATCTCACCCACTGAGACCTCCAGAGGATTAGTATCTTGTCCAAAATCACTCGACTCGTTGGCAGAGCACTGATAACCTAGGGATGCTTCAAAGGAAAGGTGAGACAACCCTGACAGTTCGCAAATAGTTTCCCGCCATCCGAAACGTCGGGGCTTATCCCTAGCTGACGGTAAGAAAAGTGTGTGCGTCTTTAATTCTTTTCATGGAGAGCGATTCAGTCCCAGATAGGGAAATTACATAGCTTCAGAAGACAGAGCCTTCATGTCAGCATCCCGAATAAACGTCCCTTCTCCTGAGGGGTCAAATAAGTTTCATTTCTGCCCGAGTTGTTCTATGCTATTGCATACTACCCTTAATGTGCTGGGTGGGATTCTACAAAAGGTCAAGTGCCCGTAAACATTGAAAACAATCCACAATATAGACACTTGGAGTAAGTAGACCAGTAAAAAGTTATTTATGACAGACCCTAAGTTGTCGTTAAGAACGCTAAGTTTACCCTGACCGGTTTGGCTCAGCGGATAGAGCGTCGGCCTGCGGACTCAAGGGTCCCAGGTTTGATTCCTGTCAAGGGCATGTACCTTGGTTGCAGGCACATCCCCAGTAGGGAGTGTGCAGGAGGCAGCTGATCGATGCTTCTCTCTCATTGATGTTTCTAACTCTCTAGCCCTCTCCCTTTCTCTCTGTACAAAATCAATAAAATATATTTTAAAAAAAAAAAAGAATGCTAAGTTTGTAATTTCCTGGAGTGAAGTGTCCTAAAGCAGTAAGTGGAAAAAAATTATCAAGTAAGAAAAACTGGATATTTGTTTTCAAATACAGCATATAGTATAGCATACACATTAAAATCCAGCTACGGAATAACCAGGGTGTTGAGGAAAGCAATTTAGCTAAGTGAAGTAAGCCAAACACCGAAGAACAAATAGTGTAGAACTCCATTTATGTGAGGTGCCACCGAGAGTAGCCAAACTCCTAGAGACAACAAGAAGAGTAGTTGCCAGGGGTGGGGAGTGTGAGGAAGAATCGGGGAGTTGTTTTTTTTGTTTTGTTTTGTTTGTTTGTTTTTTAATATATTTTATTGGTTTTTTACAGAGAGGATGGGAGAGGGAAAGGGAGTTAGAAACATCGATGAGAGAGAAACATCGATCAGCTGCCTCCTGCACACTCCCCACTGGGGATGTGCCCGCAACCAAGGTACATGCCCTTGACTGGAATCGAACCTGGGACCCTTCAGTCTGCAGGCCGACACTCTATCCACTGAGCCAAACCGGTCAGGGCGGGGAGTTGTTTTTTAATTGGTAAAAAGTTTAGTTTGGGTTAATGAAAAAGATCTGGAGATAGGCTGTGTTGACGGTTCACAACAATGTGAATGTACTTAATGCTGTTGAACTGCACACTCAAAAATAGTTAAAATGACACATTTTATATGTATATTTTACTGCAATAAAAATAATTTATACATTTAATGTTACTAGGGAAAAAGTAATATCCTATTTGTGTAATAGCCTTGTCATTGGCGGACTCCACCAATGTTTTCCACCACATCACTTCACTGTTCCATAACTCTGGCCATTCATTCCATATGGCCAAAACTAATCATTCTACTGTCAAATACTGTATACTCCAGGTAAACAGGTATGCTTATCCTCCGCTTTTCCAAATATTTATTCACATCATTTCCACAGGGAATATTTTTACTTACTTCTTTCTCTGGTAGCTCAAACCTTACACATACTTCTCTCTTAATACCACTACTAGTGTTCGTTTGAAATCTCTTATTTTCTCTAAACAGCAGCAACAGCCTTTTAATCTCTCTGCCTCTTAGGTTGCACCCATATCAGTTCATATTCAATTACCTTCATCATCATTGCCTTTTTAAAAAAAATATGTTTTTATTTATTTTAGAGAGAGATAAAGGGAGAGAGAGAGAGGGAGAGAAACATCATTCATTTGCCTCCTGTATGCCGAGAGAGAGAGAGAGAGAGAGAGAGAGAGAAAGAGAAACATCGTTCATTTGCCTCCTGTATGCACCCTGACCAGGGACCTGAACCAACCCCAGCATGTGTCCTGACTGGGAATTGAACCGGTGACCTTTTATTTTATATTTTTATTTTGTTTTGTTTTGTACCTTCTTAAATACTAGAGGCCCGGTGCACAAAAATTTGTGCACTCGGGGGGCGGGGGGAGGGGGGTCCCCCAGCCCGGCCTGTGCCCTCTCCCAGTCTGGGACCCCTCAGGAGATAACAACCTG